CGCAACACTGAGGGTTGCAATCCATTGCCGGTCACGAAAAAAGACAAAAAAAAAAAAAAAAGGAAAAAAAAAAATAAATAAATAAATAAATGAGTGCTATTTACAGGTATTTTTGTAAAATAATTATCCTTTTAAAATCTACCTTAAAAAATACAGCACAGTTTAATCCACATATAATGATCTATTGACTACATGGTCTTGTTATGACACAGAATTGTTTTAGGTCTCGTGAAAACTATTCTGATATTAATTTTATATCAGTCTAACTCAATGTGAGGATTATATATCTAACACAAATCATAAGTCTACTCTAATCTCTTACTTTATAAAGGTCATATTCATTTATTGTTTTACCTATAAAAATCAGTAAGGCTGCGTTTACCACTTTGTGAATATCACTACAGGCATGAGAGCTATGCCTCTAAAAAACTTCTGTATTTTTTTGCTTTGAAAATTACATAATCCCAAAACAAACTACACGAAATATTGTGCATACTTTATACAAAAAAAAGGAAGTAAAACTGATAAACTTTAGTAGTTTTTCAAACTACATATTTTCCACGTTTTGTAGAAAACTAAAATCTATATAATATTCTAATGCCCAGAATTTAGTACAACTTGGTTAATGTAAAGAATTCATTCCTCTACTTAAAATGATTGGAAAAACCCTTATCAACAGTAGAATTTACCTATAAGAAGATGTAAGTTGTTATGAATTTCTAGTTCTTGATTGGGATGTGAGTTCCCAGGTGCTTATTATGAATTAATTAAAGAGGGCCATGGATGTACCAATATTGACAATGTGTCATAAACCAAAGATTATTAGTCAATTCTATATACCCAAAATCTGTTTTTAAAAGAAAATAAAATATAAGGATAGTCTTATTTGAAATATATTTACAATGGGAAATTTTAATACAACTTTTTCCCAATCAGCAGATCTAAGACAAAAAGAAAAAAAAGGTAGTAAATATCAGAAGAGGATGCAGTATAGAAATATCATTAAATACTAAATCAAATAATCATGAATGAGACATGAAATATTCACTTGAAGAATAGCAGAAGAAAGAAAAGGTTAAGGCCCAACAAGGCAAGAGAAATGGGTAGAGGAAGAGACTCCAAGAAAAGACCACACAAAGCTACCCTGGACTAGGAAAGGTTGCAGGCCCTAGAACAACAGGTGACCACAGAACACATAACTCACATATTATCCTCCCTTCTCCCAAAGCAGCTCCCTAGAATAAATATCCAATATTGAATCAGTTCCTCACTTTCTATCTAGAATCCACTCAGACACCTCAGAGAAATAGAGAACTTGGAAGAGGTAAAAGCCATGGTTTCTTGGCCCCACTCCAAACCCTCCAACTCAAAAGCAACCAAATCAGATTTACCTTTACAGCCAACCTTATACCTCCTATGACTTGGAGAATCTCCCTGACTCCCAAAATTCTCTCCAGTTGCTCTCCGATGCCTTAAATTATCTGGAAATTCTCTAACTTGAGACAGACTCTCATTCCATAATTAGAAATAACAGGCCAGAAACTGCAGACAAGATAGCAACAAAAACTCATTCATACTTGATTTTGCTCAGTCAAACCGAAAAGCATAAAAGACCAATAGATTCTTTTCTGCTTTGATCAATAAAAGAGTCAAAGTGCAAGTGAACAGTAGGCTCCTGAAAGACAAAACATTTCCACAGAAAGAGGAAAAAGATATAGGAAAAAACATTTGTAGATAACTTTAGAGATCCATGTACTATAAGCTCATGACATGTGAGCGGTGATATCACAATAAGATCCTTCCACAGTTTAGAAGGATATAGTCACTAAATTTCTTTTTAGCCTTGAACAGCTCAAAGTTAACAATCCTATGTCAATGGCGAAAACTGTTACTAACGGAATTCAGCTTTCCTTCCATTTTTATAGTTTACTGGTTTGACTAAAAAATACAAAGAAAAAAAATCAATCTTAAGAAACTAATTTTCAAACATGATCTTACCTGACCTATGGGGTAATTTTAGAACAAAGGGCTTCATATCTACCACAAAGTGATCAAATTCTGCATCCAGCTTTTCCCATTTTTCTTCTTCACTTCCCATTTCCATAATCCAATCTGAAAAAGATTTAAAATTAAAATATTAAGGATCTGTATACTGAAAAGTATAAAACTCTTACGAAAGAGATCAAAGAAAACTCATCAGATAAATATTAATTCTCCCCAAATTGACCTGTAGACTTAATATAATTCCAATCGAAATCCGGCAGCTTTATAATTATACATTTTTATAATTCTTTATAAAATTTTTATAATTATTCATGAGCTGATTCTAAAGTTTATATGGAAAGGTAACAGGTACTAGAATATGGAAAGGCAAGTAGAAATAGCCAAAACAATTCTGAAAAAGAACAAAGTTGGAGGACTCACATTACCCAATTTTTTTTGGGGGGGGTAAATAGCCAAAACAATTCTGAAAAAGAACAAAGTTGGAGGACTCACATTACCCAATTTTTTTTTTTTGGGTACTTTTTGAGACTGGCCGCACCGCGCTCAGCCAGTGAGAGCTGTGAGTGCACCGGTCATCCCTATATAGGATCTGAACCCGCGGCAGGAGCACTGCTGCGCTCCCAGCGCCACACTCTCCCGAGTGCACCACGGGCTCGGCCCCCTATTTTAAGATGTACTATAAAGCTACGGTAGTCAAGACAATGTGGTACTGGTGAAAGGATAAACACATAGATCAACGATGGAGCAGACTAGAGGGTCCAGAAATGGACCAGTACACACATGGACAACTGATTTTCAAGAAAGGTACATTCATGGAGAAATGACAGTTTTGACAGCAAATGATGCTATAACAACTGGATATCCAGATGCAAAAAAAAAAAAAAAAAAAAAGAGGAAAGAAACTGAACCTCATCCTAAACCTCATGCTATGTATAAAAATTAACTCAAAATGAATCACAGATCTAAGTGTAAAATGTAAAACTATAAAATTCTGACAAGAAAACATAAGGGAAATTTTTCATGATCTTGAGTAATGCAAGATTTCTGATAAACAAAATTAAAAGAACTATCCATAAAAGAAAAAAAAAAAAAAAAAAGCTTTTTTTCTGCAAAGGACACCACACTAGGAAAAAATATTTGCAAATCATACATTTTATAAAGAATCTATATAAGAATATATAAAGAACTCTCAAAACTCAAGCATAAGAAAACAAACAGCCCAATAAAAATAATCAGCAAAAAAATTAGTCCCTTTACCAAAGAAGTAACACAGATGACAAGTAAGCACATTGAAAAGATGCTTAACATCATTAGTCATTAGGCAGATGCAAATTAAAACCATAATGAGATACCACTACAAACACATCAGGACAACTTAAGTTAAAATTGCAAACAATCCCAAGTGCTGATGAGGATGCAGAACAACAACAGGAACTCTTATGCATTGCTGGTAGGAATGCAAAATGGTACAGCCGCTCTGGAAAACTGTTTGGCAGTTTCTAACAAACATACACTTACCATATGATCCAGAAATCCCACTCCCAGGTATTTACTGAAGTCAAATGAAAAATCTATATTCACAAAAAAAATGCAAATGTGATGTTCATAACAGGTTTTTTTTTTTTTTTGGGGGGGGGGGCTGAAAACAGTCCAAATGTCCCTTAACTGGGGATCTGATAAACTGTGGTATATCCACACAATAACATAGTACTCAGCAACAGAAAGGAATGAACTATCAACAGCATGGATAAACTTCAAACGTATTATGCTAAGTGAAAGAAAAAGGTTACATACTGTCTAATCCCATTTGCAGGACATTCTAAAAAAGGCAAAACATACAGGCATAGAGAACAGAACTGTGGTTCACAGGAGTTAGCAGTGAGGGGAAAGTTGGAATACGAAGGGGTGGCACAAGGAAACTATTTGGAGTGTTGGAATTGTTCTGTACACTGTGGAGGAGGTCACGAGAACCTACACATGTATAAAAACTCATAGAACTGTAGACCAAAAGAGTGAATTTGCTGGATGTAACTTTAAAATTTTTAATTCCCTTTAAAAAACTTAAAATACTGTTCTTCATATTTCTTCCTAATTAGCAAGAAAAACACTGAATGTGAAGATCGTGAAACGCAGAAATCAGAAACATAGGTTTTGACAAAATTTCGTAAGTTAAAAACATTTCTGCATTCCACATGTTCCTTGAAATTGTGAAACGTCCTAGTAGGGATGTAGACCACTTTTACATTATGTATAATGTCCAATTTGTCATTTATTCAATTTACAAATTATATATCTTGGGAAAAGCTATATTCTGTCTCATAAGCTGTCTTGCTCCACAGACTGCCCTCCCCCCTGCTAAACCAGTTTCTAATATTTACCATAGTGTCCACCATTTATTATCAACAACCTCTTCATAGAAAGTTCTCTGTATACTGTCTCGGTAAGTAAACCCCAGCTGTCACTGGCTGACTTTACTTCTGTTACAGTCCTCACACGTGAACCAAGGTCTCTCGTTCTCTCTCGTGCACACATGCCCTCTCTGTAGTCTTTCCCTCTTTCCATCCCACCCTGCCCAAGAAGGAAATCATCGAGATCCATACTGCCATTTCCCAACTACTGCTCTTCCAACCTCAACTCCAAATTCCCCTCTTAGGAAGCTCCAACAACCTGGATATACCACATACTCTCCATTCTCATCATTGTCAGCTTGCAAAGAAGCACCTCTATCTGATAACAGCCTCTTATCCTCTTAAACCCTCTCCTTATTCCACTAGATCTTTTCTTTATACTTAGCTAAACTGCGATCCTTTATGCCCTCCTTTGTTCTCTAACTAAGGGGCTGCTGCAGGAAAATGCCACTGTCTTGTAGTCGAATAGCTTTCAACATCACCTGAACTCTCAGGAATCTTTTACTATTTCCTACCTGACAAAGCAGCTTTTACAATGTTTACCAGGTACCTTAAAGCCCCTTAAACAACTCCAGCCTCTGCTCACTCTCAATTTTAAAAATCTTACCTCTTCATGGAAAAAATAACAAGCAGGTGGTAACACCCCAAAACGCTATTCCCTCCACCTTTCAAACCACCTCTTGAGTAAACATTCTTACCTCCTTGTTCCTGTTTCAGAAGCAGCATTAACTCTCCTCTCTAATGTCAATATCTCTACCCTTATCTATCCAGTTACCTCTTCACTGTTTCAAATTTTCCATCTCCACTGACTCCGTTCCCCTCTGTGGCAGGCCTCATTCTAGCATTCCACTCACAAGTTCACTCTTCCTTTCTTCAGTTCAACTTCTATCCACATCTCACCCCTGTGAATTACCTCTTCCATCTCCATCATGCTACTGAAAATCTTTCAAAGTTCACCAATGATCCATTAACTGCCAAATCCAAAGAGCTATCTTCAGTTTGCTTCCTATTTGACATCCCCATAGCATCTTCTATTTCTGGCAACTTCCAAATTAGAAAATCTTCTGCTTCAGTGGTTCCATTCACTCCCAGCCTCCTACTGCCTTTCAGATCATTCCTTCTCAGCCTCTCAATGGCTCTTGCTTCTCTGCCCAACACTAAATTAGGATTCTCCAGTCCTCCCTCCTTAGTCTCCTTTTAACCTGACTTTTCACACTCTCCCTGGGTGATCACGAAGTTATTCGGTACAATAACTTCAAGTATTACCCTCATGCCATTTACCCTTAAATTTTATTTCTAACTCCAGCCTCTCTTTGCAACTCCAGACTCATATTTAACAGCTTCCTGAGACCATTCACTAATCTTCTGTTGGTTACCTAGATTTACATATTCAAAAAAAAAATTATTCATGTTTTTCCCCATAAACCTATTCTATCTATGTGATACTCTGATTGATGGCATCATCATCTACTTCGTGTCTCAAGCTAGAAGTTTCGATGTTCCCATTCTCTAAACCCCCATAAATCAACATATCAACAAATACACAGAAACATCTCAAAATCTGCCTGCTTCGCTATTCTCACTGCTACTCTCACAGATAAAGCCCTGCCCACCACTTACTTGCACTACTGCAACAGCTTCATAACCTGTCTACGTACTTTCAATCTCCTCTACTTGAGTCAATTTTCCCAACTGGTAACAGAATAGTTTCCGATTTACAATGCTAAGCTTATCACTCCCTGTTTAAAAATCTCTCTTGACTGCCTAACACAACAGAACACTATCCAAACCCAAAGTTAGGCACGCAGGTGCCATTGCATTTAGGCCTCTCTCTCCCACCACATAGACACATAGACATAGACACACACACACACACACACACACACACTTCGCTTAACTACACCTACCACCAATGACCACTTCACTCTTGTCACAATTAGCTCCTGACCATTCTCCGTACACTCCAAGCCCTTACATGATCCCACAGCCTTTTCACCAGCTGTTCCCTCTGCCTAGGGTCAGGTAAATGCAGCTCAAATGGCACTTCTGAGTGAAGCTGGCCCCGTTCACCCTAGACTGATGTTGCTCCGTTCTCAGAGTAAACTGCTCACATCTGTTTAACAGCATTTATCACACTGGGGTTCTTTTACACAGCTGTGTATTACTTACACGTATTCTATCATCTATAAGATGCTCCTGGAAGGCAGGGACCATGACTTAACTTATACATCTTAGTAGGTACCTAGCATATTACCTGGTACACATTAGGACCTGAGAAATTAATTGCTAAATAAATACTAAATGAGCAGATTAATGTCTCTCTTTCACATGACTAATAGTTTGCTTTTTAATGCTTCTGTTCTGAGTACCAAAGAGGTCTTCCACAATAGGAATGCTATATGCCGCTAATTCCTTTTACCAAAACTGGCCATCCTACCTTCTGCATTGCAGTAGAAGAAACATATTTTCAAATTCAAGACTTGGTTAAAATAAATTTGATTTAATTGTGTTTTCTGATTAGCTGGCTGTCTTGGGGTTTTTTTTAGCTTGGTTGGTTGGTTTTGTTTCACATTCCTACAACACATTTCATTAGTTTTGTACTTGGTAACAGAAGGCTATGATACCACTGCTGGATGTTAGATCATAAAGTTGAAAAGCTGCTATTCAAATGGAAGAAGAAAACATTTGCCTGAGA